TTTTTGTTAGCATATGGTATTCACAATCAAACATAGACTCACTCAAAACCTTTAAAAAGTACATTTTTTATGACCTCACCCAGCTGATCTCAGCAGCATCGAAGACAAAAATGGATTGAAATATACCGATCTCGAACATTACATTACTGAAGAACAGAGACTAGAGATGGCGCGAGATAAATCCTCTCCACTGCCCACTTCTTCCCAAGTCTTCGGCCCCTTATTATATACCTGAAACACCATCACCAATATTTGCAATAACACCATGCTCAAGTATTTCCAGACATACTGATGTCAAACACGGCAACACGTCGAACCAGATAAACTACACTTATAGATACGTCACTTATGCTTCTGCCAGCGGCAACGAAACCTGTAGTTAAAAACGTATAATGAATCAATTAGATTTTGTATTTCAAAAAAGGAAATATACCGGATCTGTAAATACATCAAACTCCACCAGCTTCAAAAAATACCATGACATCCTTATCTTATTCCTATGCAATATTTTCAAAAAGTCTTCAGCGATGAGTTATTAGCTTATTAGATTTAATAGTTGAAATGACAAATTTATATTTATTTTATTTACAAGGTAGCAGTAAGTCGATAAGTGGGACGGAAAAAGAAATAGAAATATTATTCGAGTAGAGATCATGATGGGTATTGTAGACTTGCCGGTAGTCGAAGTTTACTGGAGTGCTGATCTGAAGTATGAGCAGATTTTAAAAATGAAAAATGAAAACTTGGTGTTAATTGTAGAGTTGGGCCGATTAGCCGCCGACTTATCGGTGAAGCCGATTAATCGGCCTATTTGTAGTCACCGATTAGTCGGCGATTAATCGGCTAAAACCGCCGCTTAATTGGCTTTTTATTTTATTAATTTCAGCAAAGGCTTTTCGTGATTTTTTGCGTGGTAAATGCGGCTACATTGATATGAGTAAAGCTATAAATTTAAGAAAAGAATCGTTTCTCTCCTATGCGTAAAATCACGTCAGATCTATATGTAGGTAAATCAAATAAATAATAAAATAAGTAGGTTCATACATATGTTTTATTGAAAAATCAGTCTCACATGTTTTAGTGTTAATTATTCTGGACATAGGAACTTTGATAAAAAAAAGAATCTGAAGTAGATATTTAAATTTAAAAATAAACAAAAACCTAAGTACTTACTATTTTAATTCTACTTTTTAACTTTCTCTAATCGTAATGCAAAGTAGTAACACAACAAAATAAAATACCAATAATGATATTCTTAATAAACTTTAAAAAAACAAATTTTTAATTCTCTTCCTTTGCATAACAAAAAAAACTTAACTCTTGAATAAACATTGTTTAATACACGCATCTATCTAGATTTTGAAAAGACAAATAGAACAATACTTCTTTCGGTACTTAAAACTAAATTGTTATTGTTTTTGTACTAAAAATTAAATTAAATTAAATTGTTATTTTCTGTACGTGAAATTACATCAAATTTTTTTTCCTATAAAGTTATTAAATAAAGATATGAGTAAAGCTATAAATGTTATTAAATAAAGAATCTCTAATTATCTTCATCATCAACAAATGAGACCTACATTTCCCGAACGCCGCAGAAACAGGGATCGTCTTGGCCGATTAATCTCCCATTTCTTAACCGATTAATCGGCTTATCGGCCAAAGTACTAATCGGCCCAACTCTTAATTGTTATTTATGTTTGTAAACACATTGTTGGCAATGTCCGTTATACGTGACGTATCTTTGTTTACCATACTTGCATATGGCATATTTACAAGTACGAGTACGGTAAACAAATGTACATTGGCAATGTCCTATATAAATAGGACATTAAAAAACTATAAAATATTACACTTTAAAATTTTAATTATACATTTCTTTTCTATCTCAATTCCAACCCAAAACCGAGATTTGAACGTATTTAACCCAAAGCATCTAGGGGTGACCATTTAAGGGTTAACTACTTCTACTACGTAGCGGCATATTGTAACATTTGGGAATCAGTAGCTTGAGAACTAGTGAGCTGCGACTTTTCCGGATCCTTCGTCGCGGAGGCAGGTATTTGTAGCCCCAATCTTCGATAAGGTTCAAACTGTCTCTAAACCCGCGGTCTAAAATAAATATTTATCATCGAGACGAAGGAGAATGTGTTGAGAGACACTAGGCATCGACTTACAACCAGGGTTAAAAGTAACGACTAAACTATCTAAAACTACTGGACCGATTTTCTCGTCTTGTTGTCGTGAAATAGTTGTTTTAGCCTAAATTCGAGGAAAAATCAAGCTGAAACTGAGATATAATTTTTTAAATTTCTATTTCAAACAAAAATCCATTCTCTTCTGAAGTATTTCAAAACGGATAACTATTATGAGTTTATGCTAATCACAGAAATCGTAAAAATATGGCAGTATTATTACGATTTCTGTGGTGCTAATAGTATTTTTGTGCACTGGTAAAGAGCTATTCAACGATGTATGATTAATGTTGATTGGACGAGAATGGAAATGAGGACCAAAACGCTCATCCACATTTATTTTATGTTTTATGTTATAATTTAGATATATCGTGAATATTACGGCCACGTAGTTTTTAACAAAAATAGCGTTGGTAAAAGTAGCGTAATAAAGTATAAACCTGATTGAATTTCATTTTATTTAGTAGAGGCCACTGATCGGCTAGGTTAGGTGAAATTCTTATATTTCAAAAACAATAACTAGAATGATACTTATAACATAGACACGAAGTATAAGTAGGTACTCGTAAGTAAGTAAGTAGAAGGTAAAAAGGTAATAAAAAATCGACTACTGAAATAAAACGTAATACTAAATCTAAAATGCATATATAACGTTATGTTATAATTTATAAGTCGTTCTGATGTTCCATGTAGTTATCCAACGTGATAAAGTCACGACGAGTTTTCACTGTGACTTTTTTGTAACTAGAACGACCGTCACGGTTATTTAAAATTTATTTCTAAAACTTACACACTTGTATATAATGATACTTACTACGGACATATGTACGTAGTAAGTATTATTTTCGTCAACTGAATCTTATTTTAAACCATTCTTGCTAGTCAGACTGAATTATAATTATGAACTATTTGATTATATACCTGTATATAATCAAAGTATGAACTTATATTAACCCTTCCGTTACCGCACTCGCTATAACAATAAACGGCTTTGTACCGGGGGTCCGGGGTCCTGACGTCATCTCCGCTATTGGAAACCACACGATGTGCGGATGATAACCTGTTGAACATTCGTCCGTCGCCAAGGTCGAAACGTATCATTACGTTTATAAAAATAACATAACTAGCCGTGGTAAGTGACAGTTTTCGTTAGGTGTTCACGATTAAATTCAGTTCTGTATTTAATTCTTCCACGTAACGTAATCATATGAAATAAAGTATTTTTGAAGCTATTAATTGTGAAAATATTACGGATAGTATAAACAATAAATATAAGTAAAACATATAGTACATTTCGATTGAATATATTTTAAAGTAATATGTTTACGCTGCTATTTCTGACTTGATTTATTGAGCTCGCGCGCTCGATTGTTATGATCTAATATTTCACCGGTGGAGTTTAAAGCCTCAGCTCATGTCTCAGGAATGAAACATTCCGACATTTATTTTACTTTGTAAGAGCCATGTCTTCCGTGCCAATCTTTCCCCTCCCCGATCAGGTGTCTCGTTTTTCATGGTGAAGGCGGGAGGGCTTAGGTTAGGCCGAGCCCTACGCTCATTGACCAGATGCGCCGCCGGGAAGGCTCCGAGGAGCATATATATGTGTATAATAGCAGTTAATACGGCTGTGTTTCGTACGGTGAGTGTAGAGAACCGGATACCCTTTTACTGGAAATAAGGCATTTCATTTTAGTCTTTATAGTGTGGACTCCACTCATAAGGGTATCTGGTTCTCCACACTGTGGAGAACTAGATACCCTTATTACAGAAATAAGGCATTCCATTTTAGTTATCAAGGATGACAATAATTATAGGAGTCGCAGGAAGGATAATAATACGCTTGATTACTTGTTGTTTACTTTACTAGTTCACAACTCGAATAGCCAAATAGCCAGTCAATAATTATTGCGATCGTTTAAATAATTTCACACAATGGTGGTAGCGTATCTCTACTACCTATCAAAACTGAACCCAGTAACAGTTTGTTATACAATCCAAATACTTTTATATGAAAATAAGTAAAATGCTGTTATAAATATTACTGATAAGTGATTTAATTAGAAATGTTTAGAAAATGAAAATACTTATATAATACTCTTTGTAAATACCTCAAATGCTAAATTAAAAAAAAAACTGAGAAAATTATCTATGATAATTATTATGACAATACAATGACTAATAATCTATTTTATATTTGATAATTAAAAAAATAATATAAAAGCAAAACGATAATTATACAAATATTACTTATAACGATTCATAATAGAAATTATGTAAAAATCACTGATGACAACGCATCTGCATTTTGATTTTTAATCGAAGAGAGATGTAGATCTCTATGGACAACAGCATCCACTTACCTACCATTTATAGCAAATGTACCAGTATATAATAGTAGTTATTACGGCAGTGTATCGTATAGTGAGTGTGGAGAACCGCTTGCCCTTATTACGAAAATGGGGCATTCCATTTGTAATCGAGGATGACAATGCATCTGCATTTTGATTCTTAATCGAAGATAGATGATATCTATTTACAACAGCACCCACTTACCCACCATTTATAGATTTATTAAAAGAGACATCACAGAATGTTTTCAACATCAATTCGCTTCTTCCCACAAGTTCTCCTGCACTATGGACTCGTTTAAGCCTTTACGTAGCATTCTTGACTGAAGAGTGCTATGCTAAGGCCAATTTTAAATAAAAGATATTTTGTAATTGATTTGACATTCAGTGATGTAGGAGGGAGGAGGGGACGGGAGGTGAAGTGAGGTCTATAATATAAAAAGAAATATTCCAACAGCAACTATGACGATCGACTTCTACCACATGTTCGGGTCGCCACCGTGCTCTCTCGTCGAGATGACGTTCGCAGCGCTGGGCCTCGAATCCAAAGTCAAGCACCACTTTGTAGACTTTCTGGCTAACGAACAATTCACACCGGAATATTTAAAGGTATTTTCAAATATTAACTTAATTTCATTCATTTGTTAGCTTTTCTTCAATAAACCACGACAATTTACTTAGTTAATTGTTTAATCACTGTACTTGTTTTTTATTTGCACTCTTATTGCAATATATGACATTCTTTGACTATATTTAAACTTACAATATTTTCTTTTAAATAATATTTTTTCACGATATACTTAACTTCACTGTTATAACCTCCTCAGTACCACTGTACGTATATCATGATTCGATTTTAGAATTAATGCAAATAGTTTGAAATAGATTCATATTTGTGAAGATTGATATGTAATATTGCATGATGAGCATTTATCTAAGACATTTCATTGCAACCTAAAGTCCACTGCCGTTAACTCAAATTAAAAATATTAATTTTCGAAATCTTTTTTTGTTACGCTTTTAAAACTGGGTGTTTTAATTGTAATTATGGAATACGCCAGAAAGTTCCTATGGCTTCCAACAGATGGAAAAAATTATTATACACCAGACGTAAAATTCCGAAAGGTGCGAGCTATCTGCCACTGCATCGTTGATCCGCCGGCCAAGAGAAATGACGATAGTGGTAAACCTGGGATGGCAACAAGAAAGACCTATGTCCCGCAGATTACTTTTGTGGGCTGTTAAAAATAATTATTGCTTGTTCTTCAGATGAACCCCCAGCACACTGCACCCACCATCGTGGACGACGGCTTCGTTCTGTGGGAGTCTCGCGCGATCTCCAAATACTTAATTGACAAGTATAGTAAAGGCAACACTCTTTACCCTGAAGACGTTCAAGCGCGTGCGGTCATCGACCAGAGACTGGACTTTGACATTGATACTCTTTACGGCAGATTCACAGAGTATTATGTAAGTGCGTCATGGAACTATTTCTTTTGTGGATGGTCCTTGTTGAGCCTGATAGATTTTTTTTATAGGATGGGGTGACAAACGAGCACACAATCCACCTGATGGTTAGTGGTTGCTGTGGCCCATAGACATCTACATCTATCCTCGATTACAAATCAAAACGCAGATGCGTTGTCACCCGTGAGTACTATGACGGAATGCCTCGTTTCCAGTAAAAAGAGTCTCCGATTCTCTACACTCACCAAACGAAACACAGCAGCACTATTTTATGCTGGTATTCTGTGAGAGTGCGGCCCTTCCCTTCGAGTCCCTTCGAGTCGACCCATTCATCGTGCAACAACTATACTACTAATATAACTGCAGCATGGCTCTCCCACGTATAAGTTCGAAATAGCCATAAGTTTAAATCAGCCACACAGTGACTCTGCAATATGCTTAAAAATTAAAAAAATATGCGCGTTTGTGACATAATAAATATAAACAAATCGCATCTAAGTCGGAAATGCCTCGTAGCCTGTAATGACATAGCTCTCTTTAAGCCTCAGGCCGATACAGCAGTGCACGGACTGTTGCTTGGCGGCAGAAACAAAAAGAGTATGTACCAAAGGGATGTATTTTGTAAGTTTTACGACTACCACAGGACAAGTGGCGTGATGGATTCTACTACACCGTCACCACCTGGCGATATACGAGAACTGTTACGGGAAAAATGCAGTTAATTTGTTTTCCCCTGCGAGTCACGTCAAACTTTCAACAAAAATAATGTTTGTTCTAGTTCACGCACTTCTTCGAAGGGAAACCGCTGGAAGAGTCAGGTGTGAAAAAGATACAGGAGGCGCTTGGTTTCTTAGACACGTTCCTAGCGAACACCAAGTACGCAGCTGGCTCGGAGCTAACGTTAGCTGATTTAGCTCTGTTGGTTACTGTGTCAGTCATAGAAGCCGGCAACATCAGCGTAAAGGAATACCCCAATATTGTCAGGTGAGATAACATATAACTTAAAATGGATTTGTATATTAAGTATAAAAAGTGGGTTTGTATATTATAAAGTATAAAAACCTGTCAGAATCGTAAGGGTGCTTTTGGGTACCGTCATATGATTCTATTCATGTAATTCATTTCAGAGAATAAAAAAAATTACACCGCAAATTTAAAAAAGCTTACAGAATAATAAGAATGATTCGAGTGTTTTCGTATTCGGTAATACTTATCATGATTTTTTATGTCCACCACAGTGTGGACATTATGTTTTTACATATTGTATATGCGTATGTCAGACGTCACCTATCCTCAAGATGTTATTTAATTTCAGACATTTAAACTTAATTTCTCACACATACGGGCTTTTCCTCATAACGTTTGCCTTAACCTCCGACTATGAAATTAATCAGCATTTAAAATTGCATAACAATTTCGGAGAATGAACTTGACTCACTCGGGAACGCGGGCGCTTCAGCTATATTATTACCAATTATTACTTTAGGCATTTTTGTACTCCTCATCAGCCAGTTAACGTTTGATGGACATGGGGCTTGAAGGTTCAAATTTCTTTATTTGTAAGAAGATACGTTGTAGGTTGGTTTTGCCGTTAAATCGTCACACTCTTTAGACTAACGATGACAATACTAGACGTGAGTATCTTTGAATCTGCTGCCCCTCATTGGCCTGAGTTCATTACGGCTCGAATGAACGATATGGTATACCGCCGTTATATCGGAAGCCATGATATTTTACTTGCGTTTTATATAGTCGCGATACCGAACAGCGGCGGTGTAAGAATATCCGAGAGCCCATAGCACCCCGAGGTGTCGTAAGAGGTGACTGTGGAAACAAATCAGGACATGTACACCAGCGTCTTCCTAATAAAGATTAAAAATAAAAAAAGTGCGGTTGCCAACCCGCTTACAAAGTGTTGCAACTATGGCAAATATGCTGTTTTGAGGCAATCTGTGGGGGAGGCGTATGTCTACCAGTGGACTTCAATAGACTGTAATAGTAGCGAGCACTTGCGATACGAGACGAAATGGAATGCTAAATAAATACACACGTTTTACAGATGGTATGACCTCGTGAAATCAACAGCACCCAAGTTGGCAGCTATAAATGACAAATATGTGAAAGACTTCATAGATTTCTTTGATGGTCTGGCGAAGAAATGAAATTTTTTTTTAATTATAAATGTAATAAACTTTAAAAGTTAAATTAAATGGAGGAAAAATATCAATAAATCATTTTAAATATTTTTTATTTTATTGACTAGCGACCCACCCCGGCTTCACATGAACAGGTTCTATTAATATGGCGTTACTTAGATCAAAGATAATTATCAAAGACCTTTCATTTTATCAATTTTTCGATTTTACAATAAAAATATTTCCAAGTTTTTAGGATCAATTATAGCCTAAATTACTCCTGTCCTTGGTCTCTGTTTGACAAGTTTTGATTACGATCAGTTCAGCGTTTCCACTCCACATCCACTAATATTAATGATGACGATGATTTGTATGATGATGTTGTACTCTGTGATCGCCTGGACCCTCCGCGGTCGAGGCTGATCTTCAACTGCAGCAGTGGTACTGCTTCGAGGCTCTACTATGCTCCTCTACCACGTAAAAAAGAGACAATACTACACATTAAATACAATGTAGTGATGATTTCGTTACTTGCTATTGAATATTTCCATGAACTTTCACACCGAAAGTAACCAGTAAAAAAAATCTATATTAGGAGGAAATATTTGAGTTCCGGATCGCAAGCAATTTTACGATTCGTTCGTGGTGATAAGATCGTCGATGGTGTGTCTTGCCTGGAATAGTGGTGTTGAGAGTAGTGGTGCTTGGTCTAGTGGTGACTGAGTTAGTGTATGCAATTGAGGGAGGGCGGGAGGTGCGCTTCAATCCAGGTAAGACACATCATTTTATATGTTTAGCGGGAAGTTGCAAAGAAATTTATATTTTTATTTTTTATTATAATGGATTTCCGCAAAGTAACGCCTGATTCTATCAATTACCTTTATTCTATATAAAAATCTGAAAATGTATATGCATGTTTACGCCGCGATTTCAATTCAATAACCATAGGTAGGGTTACTAAAGGAATTTTCTTAATTTTTAATTAAAATTTGAAACTGATAGATAAGTCCTGCATATTATGTGGGATTTTGTTGTTAAAGCGTGTACAAGCTCTTTGGAGTCGAGTAACTAGTATAACTAGCTTGTGGTTGTATTTTATTGTGTACTTACAGAATGTACACAACTATTTTTTTTAAAACTATTATTGTTTGAATTACACTGCTGTTTTCCTACTCTGTGCGAGTGTAATCATTCCCCGGTCGAGATGACACATTTGTACAGCAAATTGGTTCGATACGTAGATATTTAGAAAGTAGATATTTATAATTTTTTTTTAATTTTCTTTCTGCAAGATACATAAGCAATCAACGAGTTAAGAGCCCAGTCTTTCAGAGGAAAACAGAAAAATTGCGTTCTGGTGACACATCTACACCCTCCCTGCCCCGCCACTTCATGTACCGCCACCGCAGTTATCTTTCTGGCCGTAGCGTGGAAAGTTGCTCTACTAAGATTTTCCAGTATCAATTTATCTAATATACAGGATTATTGATAATTAGCTAACAAATTTTCACATACAGATTTTCTACCTCGTATCTATTTTTGTTCCATGCTTTTATTACAAAATTCGTTACACAAAAAAAAATATTTTAAGTTTGTATAATTTTTGTTGTTTTGTTGAAAAGGTTTCTAAAAGATAATCGTCTAGAACCTGTATAACATGTACTCGTATTATTGATTATTCAAATGAATCTGGCAAGTGCTAGAATGAGTCGTGCACTGAGGGTTTCGTAATAAGTCGATGACACTATCGAAAATCCGTCAAGTACGTCAAGTAGTTCTAAATACTAAAATAGATTAAAAAAAAACTCAAAATAATTTCTATATAAGTACAAACAGTCCACTATCACACATATTTATAGTTGCTCATTAAAGTATAATGTAACTTTGTATAGCATTTACCTATATGCATGAATTACTATTCTTGTACAGCAGCATCGACGGACGACTTAGCGCTTTTTTTTAATTTATTCGCAATGGCTTGAATGATGTTCAATGGTGCTAACATCTGACAATGGTTGGCGAGAACCAGCAGCGGACCTGGGTACAAATATGCAACTCATTTATAAACTATTCTTAAAAGTACCTACCTAATTATATACCTAATATTTAACCAAGTGCTCACACATATGCACGTTGTTAACTATTTTACTATGAAACACAAAAAAAACTTACCTTTGAATTCTATTTCTGTTCATTGCTTCAACGTTTGATTTCAATTTTCGTTTTCTGGTACAAGCATATTTTTTACGTTTATGGTCCATATCGAAATTAAAAGTTATAAAACAAATACAAAATGATTTATAAACCCTTAAAGAATTATATGCAAAAAATAATAAAGTAGAGCAATTTTCAATTCGTAACAATGCGCAACCAAGATTAGGGAAAGAGAGAGAAAGAGGAATGTTAGAGCGAGAGGAAGTGCAAAAATTTGGCACAGACAAGACGTCTGAACGCTACAGCCGCTCAGCGGCTACTAAGGAATATTGCCCGCAATTATTGTTTATAAAGTCAATATTTTATAGGTCGATCGAAATAATTATTAATTTTGAAATAAAGTGGTTTAAATTATTATTTTTTAATATTTGTCTAATTAAACACCTGCCCTTGAGAAAAAAATAATTATAGCATAAATATTTTCAGCTATTGCTATGAAACAAATAGTTTTTTATGAGGCGAAAACAGCGAAATTTAACGAAATTGAGACCTCTTATTTAAGACAATGAAAGATATTTAGAAAAAAAGAAACAGCGCATTTTGGAGATGAAGATGTTTAGCAATTAACGCGCTGAATAGATTTCGCCTTTTTATTATCGATTGCCTTATAATGGTACACGAACAAAGCTCGAAATTGCGTTGGGTGCGAGAGAGCTCTATTTACCGTTTGATTTATCTAACATAGACCACATAGATGAACCAAAAAAAAAATTTAGCCATTACTTATAATCTGGGTATTTATGTGTTATCAAAATATTTTACTCTGAAACAATAATTTGCTGTAAAAAAAAGAAATCAAAGTGGCGCTAATGATTCGATGTGAGTCAACTTTAAAAGACTGTAGCCTTAATATAGGTATAGAGTAGCACTTTTATAGGTAGGAAGGTTATAAGAACTAAGACGTCATACCTATTATTTATTCTGTTACGCCGAAGGTAGAAATCAGGTTTTATGTCGCCTCTACACGTTGGCCAACACAGTGGCGAATGTAGTGGAGAATATATTGGCCGAGAGTTGGTGACGGCGTCCACACGTTGGAAGGTCGTTCAGTTTATTTCGGTTCGGGCCAATGTGCGGACGAATTTATTTTATTTTAGATGACGGCTCCGTGGCGCAGTGGCTTGGCAATGAGTGGCTGTGCCGGGGGTCGCGGGTTTGAATCCCGCACGGAACAAGTATTTGTCTATCCTACAAATAATTGTTTCGGGTCTGGATGTGTGTCCTTGTGCAATTTATGTTTGTAAGCTGCCTCCGCGATACAGGAGAAAATCCAAGTGTGGGGTAACGTTTTTATAAAATAATTATAAAAGAATAGTGAATATTAATGGGGCTGTAAATAGATATACGGTATACGATTAGTTTTATTTATTCTTTACATGCATCAGAAACTGGAATAAATACCATTAATTAGAACTTAACTTATTTTAGAGTTAAAGGAGTTATAATCGATTAGTCTATGTTTAAAAATTGGGTTTTGTTTTTAAAGTTAAGCAAAACATATACTTGCTTTTCTATCAGACATTTGATGTATATAAAAACACCTTATAATTTATTTGGTAATTTAATTATTTTTGAGAAAGACAAAAACAATAGCAATAGATATAATTAACACTGACTTAATAATAGGTACTAATTATAACTTAGAACATAAACGAAAAACTCATGACAAGGAAAGTGGCTCAGGACCATGCTTTGCGGCATTCTTTGGAGGAGGAAGTTCAGTAGTGGACTCGTGAAGAGCTGTAATGATGATGATGATTCGAAAACTTGCACGATAAAATTATAAGAAATCAACGCTTTTTTATATAGGATAGGGTGACAAACGAACACACAGTTCACCTGATGGTAAGTGGTTGCTGTGGCCCACAGACATCTACATCTATCCTCGATTACGAATCAAAATGCAGATGTGTTGTCACCCGTGAGGACTAAGATGAAATGCCTCGTTTCCTTTAAAAAGGGTCTCTGTTTCTCTACACTCACTATACGAAACACAGCATCATTAAGCTATTATTTTACGCTGATATTCTGTGAGAGCGTGATCCTTTCCCGGTCGAGCCGACCTTCGTGCTGCAACTATAATTTTAATATAATTGCATGGTTCTACCACATATAAACAACGTGCTTCATTTTTTTTTCATTTTAAAATTGTTCTCGTAATAATCTGATTGTAAAAAAACGTTAATTTTTTTTGATAAATAGCTTATTGATTAAAACAAATGTTTAATAATAATTAAATTGCGCTAATTAAAGTAGTAGGAATGTTTAAAGTTGAAATTGGCACTAAAAGGCTGGTAATTGGGACATCCACCCTACAAAGCTTGAATATAAAATTTTAATCAGATGCGTGTAATCACTCTGGGAGCTTGTAGCAAACTAAACTCGCGGCCAACGTGTGGACGCGGCGACCAAACTCTGCCAACAATCCTTTGATCTTTTGTAAAAAACCGACATCACACGGATCTCGCGCCAACTTGCGGGCCATCGTTCCAATACATACCAATGAAGCCCAAACACCCCGTCTACACGTTGGCCAATGCTATTGGCCACTACATTCGCCACTGTGTTGGCCAACGTAGAGGCGCCGTTATTCGATGCGAGTGTGACATGAAATGACATAATTAGTTTTATTCAAAAAAATTTGAATAAAACTAATTATGCTTAGTCAAAAAATAATTAAAGGAGATAAAATCACCAAAGTTTTTTTTAATGCGTAGTATTCGCGTAAATAGAAATCGTGGATCACATACCGATATTGATTGCTGATACTAGTAGGTAGCATTTTTTTAATTGTTCTAAGCCAGCGCTTAGCT